TTTTACGTCTCCTCCCCTTTACAACACACACAACTTTACCCCTCGCTTCCTCCTTCCCTTTACGTCTTCTTCCCTTTACACCCCCTTTCTCTCCTATAATTCTCCCTTTTGCCCCTCCTCCCCTTTACACCACCCTCTGCCCTCTCCTCCTCTTTACCCCTCCACCCTTTTACACCCCCTTAACCTTTTGCCCCTTCCTATCACCTCCCTTTTGCCCCTCCTTATCTCCTCCCATTTGCCCCTCCCGTCCTCTCCCTTTTGCCCCTCCCGTCCTCTCCCTTTTGCCCCTCCTCCTGGTTCTTATGTTGGCGATCTCCCCACAGAATGCCTTTGTTTCCATCTATCTGGTCAGCTGCTTCAGTCAGATCATTGATTTATCCAGCAATCTGTGTGACGTTGCCGGGTACACACATCGGTGAGTGTGGGCTGGGAGGGGCTCTGACCTGTGATGGGTGGTGAGGGTTAAATGTGGGAGGGGCTCTGACCTGTGATGGGTGGTGAGGGTTAAATGTGGGAGGGGCTCTGACCTGTGATGGGTGGTGAGGGTTAAATGTGGGAGGGGCTCTGACCAGTGATGGGTGGTGAGGGTTAAATGTGGGAGGGGCTCTGACCAGTGATGGGTGGTGAGGTTTAAATGTGGGAGAGGCTTTGCCCAGTGATGGCGATGGGTTATATATGGGAGAGGCTTTGGCCAGTGATGGCGATGGGGAGAGTTATATGTGGGAGGGGCTCTGGCCAGTGATGGGTGGTGAGGGTTATATGTGGGAGGGGCTCTGACCTGTGATGCCGATGGGGAGGGTTAAATGTGGGAGGGGCTCTGACCAGCGATGGTGAGGGTTAAATGTGGGAGGGGCTCTGACGAGTGATGGGTGGTGAGGGTTAAATGTGGGAGGGGCTCTGACCAGTGATGGTTGGTGAAGGTTATATGTGGGAGGGGCTCTGGCCAGTGATGGGTGGTGAGGGTTATATGTGGGAGGGGCTTTGGCCTGTGATGCCGATGGGGAGGGTTATATGTGGGAAGGGCTCTGGCCAGTGATGTGGAGGGTTAAATGTGGGAGGGGCTCTGACCAGTGATGGCGATGGGGAGGGTTATAGGTGGGAGGGGCTTTAGTTGCTGCCATTCTTCATTCATGTGTCTCTTCTTAGGATTGGGGAGCTGGTGGAGGTGATGATGAAGATTGTGCAGGAAGACGAGGAATTTAATCCAGAAAAGGAAGATGATGGGTGTGTAGTGTCCTCTTCTGTATATATGGGGGTGTCCATACCTGACCATTATCTGTATATATGGGGGTGTCCATACCTGACCATTATATGTATATATGGGGGTGTCCATACCTGACCATTATATGTATATATGGGGGTGTCATACCATATTCTCAATGCTTCTTCTGGCGGGTCCTCACTGGACCATTGTCTGTATATATGGGGGTGTCCATACCTGACCATTATCTGTATATATGGGGGTGTCCATACCTGACCATTATCTGTATATATGGGGGTGTCCATACCTGACCATTATCTGTATATATGGGGGTGTCCATACCATATTCTCAATGCTTCCTCTGGCAGGTCCTCGCTGGAGAAGTCGCAGGATGGAGATGGGGTATTTATTCTTGATAATATAACGATTACCTCGCCGGGATCAGAGTGCACGTTGGTGCGAGACCTCAGCCTGTGTGTGAGCGAGGGGAGCAATCTGCTGATCAGCGGGGAGACTGGCAGTGGGAAATCCTCCATTCTACGTGTTCTCGCTGGACTGTGGAAGACCAAACACGGCGAGTATGAGAGAGAAGCTCCCCCGTTCTGTGTGTCTTTGGTTGGCTCCAGTTGCCCGCCATGCCTCCACCTATGTACTGTGGTATTTGGTTGGCTCCAGTTGCCCGCCATGCCTCCACCTATGTACTGTGGTATTTGGTTGGCTCCAGTTGCCCGCCATGCCTCCACCTATGTACTGTGGTATTTGGTTGGCTCCAGTTGCCCGCCATGCCTCCACCTATGTACTGTGGTATTTGGTTGGCTCCAGTTGCCCGCCATGCCTCCACCTATGTACTGTGGTATTTGGTTGGCTCCAGTTGCCCGCCATGCCTCCACCTATGTACTGTGGTATTTGGTTGGCTCCAGTTGCCCGCCATGCCTCCACCTATGTACTGTGGTATTTGGTTGGCTCCAGTTGCCCGCCATGCCTCCACCTATGTACTGTGGTATTTGGTTGGCTCCAGTTGCCCGCCATGCCTCCACCTATGTACTGTGGTATTTGGTTGGCTCCAGTTGCCCGCCATGCCTCCACCTATGTACTGTGGTATTTGGTTGGCTCCAGTTGCCCGCCATGCCTCCACCTATGTACTGTGGTATTTGGTTGGCTCCAGTTGCCCGCCATGCCTCCACCTATGTACTGTGGTATTTGGTTGGCTCCAGTTGCCCGCCATGCCTCCACCTATGTACTGTGGTATTTGGTTGGCTCCAGTTGCCCGCCATGCCTCCACCTATGTACTGTGGTATTTGGTTGGCTCCAGTTGCCCGCCATGCCTCCACCTATGTACTGTGGTATTTGGTTGGCTCCAGTTGCCCGCCATGCCTCCACCTATGTACTGTGGTATTTGGTTGGCTCCAGTTGCCCGCCATGCCTCCACCTATGTACTGTGGTATTTGGTTGGCTCCAGTTGCCCGCCATGCCTCCACCTATGTACTGTGGTATTTGGTTGGCTCCAGTTGCCCGCCATGCCTCCATCTTGCTCCTGTCTCTGGCACTCTTCCTCTTACATGCTCATATACCTCTGCAGGTCGGGTCTCGGTCTTCTCTCCGTTCGGTCCTCATGGTGTTGTTTTCCTGCCACAAAAGTCGTTCCTGAGTGACGGAAGCCTGAGGGAGCAGGTGAGGGCCCATGTGTCACATGATGCGTGTCCGGGGTAATTTCTGCAGAAGAGAGGGAGAGCCGTCTACTGAGGGAACCTTCCCAGCAATAGAGTGTGTGATGACAGTGCTAGCACAGTGTACAGTCAGGCCCGGATTCCCCACAAGGCCACCGAGGCCAGGCCCCGGGGCGGCAGCAACGTGGAATCCCCCCGCCGGGCGGTAAGTTATTTTATACATTTAGCCCTGCTTAGGAAAGCAAGGCTAAATGTAGTGTGAAGCCGCTTGTTTGCAAGCACCCCCCATCCGCACCCCCCCGCACCTACCTCGCTCCGCCGCCGAGTCCCTCACTGGCTGCCGTTGTGGTGAGCAGAGCGGCATGGTTACACAGTGCCGATCCGTGTACACAGTGAGAGGGGAGAGCAGTCTTCCCCTTTCGGCTGTCACAGGAGTTCATGCACAGCGCTGCGCTAGAACTCCTGTCCTGGAGGTGACGGGGTCAATAAAGAGAACCTGTCACCTCCAAATGCTATCACACATGGGGCTCGTTAGCTCCTGTGTGATAGCAATAAAGTTAAGTGCAAAAAAAATTACATTAAAAAAAATATATAAAAATAAACAAATTAGTACAAAATAATAAGAAATAATAATTTAAAAAAATATGGTGATTAAAAAAGTAAAAAATTATAAAAAAATACAAAAAAAATAAAATTAACCCTGCCGCCCCTGCCATCCGGTTGCCATTC